ACAGTGAGAGAGAGAGACAGAGAGAAAGGTCTTCCTTTGCCGTTGGTTCACCCTCCAATGGCCGCCGCAGCCGGTGTGCTGTGGCTGGTGCACCGCACTGATCCGAAGCCAGGAGCCAGGTGCTTCTCCTGGTCTCCCATGCAGATGCAGGGCCCAAGCACTTGGGCCATCCTCCACTGCACTCCCTGGCCACAGCAGAGAGCTGGCCTGGAAGAGGAGCAACCAGGACGGAATCTGGCGCCCCGACTGGGACTAGAACCCGGTGTGCTGGCACCGCAAGGGGGGGGATTAGCCTAGTGAGCCGTGGCGGCCGGGCCTCAGCTTCCCTCTAAATCTACCTAGGAAGGCAGCAGACGATGGGCTCCAGTGCTACCCCATTTGGGAGAACCTGGGATGGGAGGTTTGTGACTTCCTGGGTTCAATCTGGTCCAGCCCTGCCCGTCACAACCATGTTGGGGAGTGAACCAAGCAGATGGGAAGATCTGTTTTCCCTTTCATTTTTTTGTTCTGCATTTTAAGGTGCATTTTATTTTAAGAATCCATTGGTTTAAAAAGTTTTACACCAAAATAACTTCTCTCTTAAACTCATTTTCCCATACAGTTATTACAGCACCCTCAAATATTTCACATACAATAAATTTCACATGTTTAAACTAATAAAATTCAATGTCCGATACTGTATTCCCAGCATTGTATGACCATTACCACTGTAAACTTAGGCATATTTTTCACCATCAAAATAAGCCTTGTATAAGTTATCAATAACCACTTCAGTCCCTCTGTCTTCTCTAGTCCTAGGCAATCACTTTCTTCAGGTCTCTACAGATTTACCTGTTCTTGACAGTTCTTATAGATAGGGTGCTACAGTATATTTTTCTTGGTAACTGGCTTCTAGCAGGTAGCATAATAATTTCACAGTTGATTCATGTTGTGGCATGTATCAGAACTTCTTTCTATTTATTGTCAAATAATTTTTATTTTTTTAATTTATTTATTTGAGAGGTAGAGTTACAGACAGTGAGAAGGAGAGACAAAGATCTTCCTTCTGTTGCTTCATTCCCCATATTACATTCAACAGGAATGTATACATGAACAGAAGGAGGTGAATTGAAACATGTGGTGATATTTTTCAAAGTACAGATTACACCCTAATAAACTCATTGTTAAATTGAAAATATCCTCAGTGAAAAATGCACTTAATACACCTAGTCTTGCCAACATCCTCGCTTGTGATTGTGGTTGAGTGGGAGCTGTTTAACTGCTGCTGTTCAGTGTCATGGGAGAGCAGTGTCTGCATATCCCCAACTTGGGAAATGCTCCAGATTCAGAGTGTGTGTCCTAGAGAATGTGTATCACTTGTGCACAGTCATAAACATGAAAAATCAGAAGTCAGACTATCACAAGTATAGGCTATCACAAGTCTGTTATAGGCTGAGTGTACCTTGGAATTAAATGTTCCAGCTATGATTTAACAATAAAATTATAAAGGAGTGACAAAAATATCTTATAAGGTAGAGGTGAAACATTTTCAGTAGCAACTGGCTGACACCCTCAAAGATAATATCAGAGATTTACTGGAGCTCATAGTTCATTATTACCCTCTGTAAAAAGATGAGACAAAGGATGTAAGAACAAATGAAGTAAAATCAAAGATAAGCCCATAAGATATTCAACATGTGGAAGAGAAATTCTGTAGCTGGATAAAGAATGTAACTTTTTATATGTGAATTTCAATAAATACAGCTTTTTAAAATTTTCTGTATCATTGCAGTACACTTTTGTCATTACAGTGAATTTATTTCTTAAATTTCTGACATTCACTTGGCCCTTCTTGTAATTTCACTCTTTTTAAAATAATGCCCCTAGGAAAATTGAGGATTACATAGCATTTCTCATGGAAGTTGAGAGACATTTTGTTGTGTTAACAATATTGTAATATTATATTCCTATGGCTATGTGGAAACAAAACCTATTAAATCACAGAATAAAATGTAATGAAATGCTCCAAAAATTTTCTATTTTTTGAATGTATACCTAGCCTATGTATCTTTATTTCATATATTTCAGAATAAATTCTATAGAACAAATTCTATAGAAACTCCATTATACTCTTAGACAAAATTCATATGTTTTGATTAATTTACAATCTATTGGAAAAATTTGTCATACATGTTAGGCTATTCATGTATTCATATACAGATGTAAATACATCTGAACTAGAGAATTGTCTAGATCTTGCCACTATACTTTTTAAAATCAATGTGTTGAGATACAAGGGAGCTTCCTAAATGTACACTATGAAAAATATGCATTGGTTTAAAAAAGTTGCATGAAAATGAACTTATCTGTTAAGTCCATTATTTCCACAAACCTTTTAATGTAACCTCATATATTTTAAATAAGTTCATCCATTTAATTTAATAAAATTCACTGACCCTTAGGATATTTCCCAGAGTTATATGACCATCACAACTATCAACTTTAGCACATGCTTAGCAACCTAGAAAGAAACCTTATACCAGTTACCCATCGCCAATCAACTCCTCTATCTTCCCTAGTCCTGGGCAATCAAATTTTTCTCAGGTCTCCAAGGAGACATTTCATATAAATAGGGTCCTACAGTATGTAGTTCTTTATGACTGGCTTCTTGTATTTAGGTATTTTCTGGGTTCACCATGTTGTAGCTTGTGTTAGTACTTTTTTATTGTCAAATATTCTTGTATTATATAGTGCAATACTGTTCTGTTGTATAAATTATCCAGTTCATCAGTGGATTAACATTTAGGTGGTTTCTACTTTTTGACTATTATTAATGCTGCTTTGAGCATTCATTTGCGAGTAATTTTGTGAGAATTAGTGTTTTCCTCCTTGCCATTGGATTCTATCCATCTCTGGCTTAACTGTACCTGTTTGCCATCTCTCCACTGTTCTTTGTGCTGTCCACTCTTCCTTTTAGTTTCTGTTCATCTAACCTTGTTTATGCAGATCGAGGCCCAAATTTCCCTTTTTTTCAGTAAGCTTTTCATTCTGTGACATTTTTATCTCTTACAGGCATAACTGTTTCCAGTACTTGTCAGCTACTTTGTACATAGCAATGTAACCCTTAGTTTTACATAGCATTTTGTTTTTTTCATAGGAGATAATCTTCTCTAAATAGAAATGTAACTCAGAGGAAAATATCTGATGTGCATGTCACTTTTCCTTGTATATATTGAAGATAGTTTAGAAGACATTAAAATAAATACTTTATGCTGTATTAAAATGTATTTGTGAGACTTTGGCATATATTTTTCATATAAGTATTAGAAAATGCAATATAAAGTCAGTACTGTATTCATAGTACATTTTGTATATCTCTTTATCCATTGATAGATATTCTAGTTATATCTATCCTTTTGGGTACTCCAAATATATGTTATCTGAAAACTGGTGTGTGGCTATCTTTTGGTGTCCTTGCTTATATTGTTAATGTCTTTTACACTGCCATGAAAGTTGAGTAATGATACATGTATGATTCTGAATTCCAACTGTAATCCTAACTCTTCAGTGAGCCCTTGAGAATGAGTTATTTTGAGACTATAAATTTAATTCCTCATCAAGAATGGATACTAAATTATTGTGGAAGCTTTATTTTCACCATGGAATATACTTCCTCTGGATTTTTGTTTTTTATTTTTTGATAGAGTGGACAGTGAGAGAGAGAGAGACATAGAGAAAGGTCTTCCTTTGCCGTTGGTTCACCCTCCAATGGCTGCCGCGGCCAGCGCGCTGCGGCCAGCGCACCGCGCTGATCCAATGGCAGGAGCCAGGTGCTTCTCCTATCTCCCATGGGGTGCAGGGCTTAAGTACTTGGGCCATCCTCCACTGCACTCCCTGGCCACAGCAGAGAGCTGGCCTGGAAGAGGGGCAACCGGGACAGAATCTAGTGCCCCGACCGGGACTAGAGCCCAGTGTGCCGGCTCCGCAAGGCGGAGTATTAGCCTAGTGAGCTGCGGCGCCGGCCTTCTCTGGATTTTTAAAAGGAAATAGTTGTAAGAGAAAAGATAAAAATGACTACTATGACATGGTTTTGCAGAGTGACATAGTGCTACCACGACTGCATGTATAAAAACAAGCTTTTCCCCTACTGTGATCATCAACCTTTACACAGGCGTACTTTATTCAGTTCATATCAGTGTACAATGGCTATTAAGCTTGTTCATAATTCTTGAGGTATTTTCTGTAAATTCTTGTAGAAATGACTTAGGAATATGGCATAGAATTATTAGTCACTTTCAAGGGTACCCTCTCTGTCAAAAGTATAATAATCGATGGCATTTGACCAACTCAATAGCAACTAATTTTCCAGAAGGTTCTCATCTCACGAATGGAGGTTCTCATCTACCAGAGAGTAATTGGGTTGATATATTTTATGGACACAACTTGGAAGAGAATAATTGGATTGGGAAATAGAGATATCTGACTCATGCCTCCAAATAATATAGTTAGGTTTATGTCTGAAGAGAATCTCAACAGACTGCTAAAGTTGTATCTATGGCAGAGGGGATTCCAACGAAAATGGAAGTGACCCATAATTTGATGCCTGTGAAAAGTCTTGCATTAGAAAAGAATTTCAACATGAAGTATGCTGGTCAACATCCTAACATATCTAGTATCAATATTAGAAAACAACACTAGGATCAAAGACACACCCTTTAGAATCATTAGCAAATGTACTAGACTGGTAGTCTGCAAAGGTAATCCCCATCAGGTAACGGTTTGTGTGGGTGTAGTTGAAGATTTAACCTATGAGAAATGAAAGAGAAGTAAGAAATGACCTGAGCTATGAAGTGAGGCCTAGGAGTATAGATTAAGCAACTTCAGGTGAAGCATTGAGACTTAAGGAACTTTTGAGACAGACTTAGAAATGGAATACAAAGAGTGGTTGAGTAGAATCCAGCAGTTACTGTATTTAGAAGTGAAGTGGGCTTATAGGAGCCAAGAGAAAGGTCTAATCACTAATTGCTACTGCTGCTGTGGATGAAAGCAGTGGAAAAACTAAACAAAGCATCCTGGATATGTCTCAAAAATATTGCATTGAATTATACCCTTGGAAAACATATTTAGGGCCAGGGAGTTGCACAGTCATCTATGTGACCCCACAATTATCTGTGTATCAGGCCATGCATTCACATAGGACAGTACAGAAAAAAAAACACAAGAATCAAACTTGGTAAATACTTGTATTTTATAGAAAAGGTAAACTTTGTTTAAAGTTAAGTCATTAATGTCAAAGGAAAAAAAAGAAGCTTCTAAACACGGTTAAAAAATGATCTTGTTTATCTCATCCTGAAATCAGGTGAAGATGAAATATGTAGTAAGAATCAAATGTGAATTTTTCCAAAAATCCTATTAGTAGCATATGATTTAATTAAACCTGGAATATCTTGAATATTCAAGTTTTTGGACAAAAGTTTCTAGGGAATCTTTAGAATGTAAAATGTAACCACTCTTTCAAAAATAGCTGTTTACGGGCCAGCTACATTGCACAGTAATTAATCCTCTGCGTGCGGCACTGGCATCCCATATGGGTGCTGGTTCTAGTCCTGGCTGCCCCTCTTCCAATCCAGCTCTCTGCTATAGCCTGGGAAAGCAGCAGAAGATGGCCCACGTGCTTCTGCCTCTGCATGCGCATGGGAGACCTGGAAGAAGCACCTGGCTCCTGGCTTTGGATTGGCACAGCTCTGGTCATTGTGTCCATCTGGGGAGTGAACCAATGGAAGGCCTTTCTCTCTTGTCTCTCCCTCTCACTGTCTGTAACTCTACCTCTCAATTAAATAAATAAAATAATCTTTAAAAAATTTTTAAAAAATAAAAAGTTGCTGTTAAAAATAATTCATTAACAGTATTTGGGTTTTTTAAACTCTGTATTTGTTTTTCATTTTTACTAGAAAGACAGCAAGAGAGGGACAAGGTGAGGATGAGAGAGGGGGTGAGAAAGAGATCTTTCATTTATGGGTCCACTACTGAAATACCTACAGTAGCCTAGAGCTGGAGCCCAGAATTCAATCCAGTTCTACCATGTAGGTGCAGGATCCAAGCACTTGAGACATCATTTGCTGTTTCACTGAGTGTTCATTAGCAGGAATCTAGATTAGAATCCAAGTTGGCCAAACTCCATGCAGACATTCTGATTTGGGTTGCAGAAATCTCTAGTAGCATCATAGCCACCGTACCTCTATCTTTAATGAATGAATTTTGATAATTTGAAATCCACAAAAGATAGTGTTGAAAGTGTAAGTCAACCTGAACTCTTTTTTGGGAAGTCATTATTTTTGAAATCTGATTATTATCTGATTTTATAGAATATTACTCATTAACTCATGGGGAATAATACTATTAGAAAGAAGTCTATATTTTAAAAAATAATTTTCACATTTTCTTAAGTCTAAAGATGAACAGCAACACATAATGCTGCTTGCTGAGTTAAATCAAGCTCTGCAGGACAAACTGGATGAAGAGATGAAGAAAAGTGGTGATTTAGGAGACAAGATAACTCAGTAAGATTTTAGTATTTCAGGTTATATCAATTATTCTTTAATTAACTTATCTATAGTTTGACTATGTTAAAGCCTAAATACACATTTTCTTATGTTTTCATAATTGAACTGTACCCTGCAAAAGTTTACTTCTGAAACTCACAGAACCATCTGGAACCTTTTATATTTTTTGAATCCCAAAATATAACATTTTCTGTTTCATGATTTCATAAACAGTAATAACAATGCCCTGGCACATAATGTCAACTGAATTCTTCTTAATGTATCTTCAGCTTCTTTTTCTGGAGATACATTTGCTGTCTTTGATAATATTTCCATTTTTGGTAACGATCTTCTCTTAAACATCCAAATATTCAAATATTTAAAATATATCAGCATCATTCTTTCATAAAATTAAAATTTATATTTTTAGCTATAAAATATTTCATGAGATGTGCTAATTTTCTTTGCATATCCCTCCACATGTATATACTGTATGCATTTAACTGTTTTAAATATATATGTGTACCTATTGCTTGTATATGAACATATATACATATTATATTTGAAACATAAAAATATATGACCTCTTCCAGGCCTGCTCTCTGCTGTGGTCCAGGAGTGCAGTGGAGGAAGGCCCAAGTGCTTGGGCCCTGCACCCCATGGGAGACCAGGAGAAGCACCTGGCTCCTGCCTTCGGATCAGCGTGGTGCGCCGGCCGCAGCGCTCCAGCCGCAGCAGCCATTGGAGGGTGAACCAACGGTAAAGGAAGACCTTTCTCTCTGTCTCTCTCTCTCACTGTCCACTCTGCCTGTCAAAAAAAAGAGAAAACAAACTTCCAAGGTCAGAGGAGTCCTTTAATTCTTACCTCTCTCTATTTTTATTGCAAACTAGAAACTACTGGATTTTCTAATACAACCCTCTGGAAAAATGGAGCCTCCTGTGATTTTATTGGAGTTCATCCTATTAGACAATAAATATTCAGAAATACTGCCTTTTGAAAATTTGATTTTACCTGAGACAAAGAAGAAGTTAGGGGAGAGAGAGTGTGTGAGTGAGAGCAAGATAAAGAGCACACAAAACATTCCCATTCACTGGTTTACTCCTAAAATAACCAGATCTCATGTGAGGCCAAAGCTAAGAGCTGGGAACTCAAGCCGGGGGTCCCATGTGATTTATAGGAACCCAATTACTTGAGCCATCCCTGCTTCCTTCCAGTGCCTACATTGGCAGAATGGTAGACTCAGGAGCAATAGGCAAGTAAAAAACAAAAGCACTCTGATGCCCAGTCCCACAAATCTTTTTGACATAATCTCTTCACCTTGGGCTTCCAGAGGAGCCAGAATAGGACAGTATCGTGAATGTTCTTTAACTCCTAAGACCCATACGGTGATTTGAGGCACCACCTAAAGTTTTTCTGAAGTTTTATTGTCCATTGTACAGTCATCATCTTTGCTTCATCTCTGGATCCTGTTTGCCTAGCAACACTCTGGATTTGATTTTATTCCAGAAACCACCTTTAATTTTACTTTTTTTTCACAATTGCATGGTGATTTGTTATGTGGAGATGCTGTAATTCACATATATGGATTTAGATACTTGAACCCAATAAGTCATAGCTCCTTTAAATTTGGTAGTCTTCCTTTAGTTTCTCTCTCACATCAGTTTTACCTTCAGCTTCCTGAAGAATGGGGCCCTTGTCTTCCAGGTCTTGGTATCCTTTCTTGACAGTTCCTTCAAAACCTCAAGTTTCCACACAGTCTCTTTGATGTCCTTTTGGTTTTCATTCTTCCTCTTTTGTAGGCCCTTTCAGCTTCCACCTCCCTCTGGTCTGAAGACATTTAACCTATTGTAGTCTTTGTTTCAATTTCCTGAAGTTACAACTCCCTGTATCTAGTGTCACCATCTAGTGTATCTGGGGCACCACCTTCTGTTGCCCTCTCAGGCACATTTGTAGGGAGCTGAACCAGAAGCAGAACACCAAGGAGTTGAACCAGTGCTCCAGTATGGAATTCCAGCATCACAGCCAGCAGCTCAATATACTGTACACAATGCCAGCTTTGTTTGGTGTTGATAGTTGCTTTTTTTGGACCTTACCTGGGACATCAGTTGGAATATCAATATGTTGTTTCACTTTCTCGTCTTTGGGTGGCTAATTTCTAAGTCCGAGTTTGCTTGAGAGATTCAGGTGGAAGCAGCATCACATTTTACAGCCTAGCAAAAGTCACTCAGCATGTGTGCCCTATTCTGTTCACTAGATACACAGTGCCTTGTCCAGCTCACATTCAGGAGAGAAAATTTCATGGAAAAATTGTCAAAGGGTTTGTAGACATGCTCTAAATGTACTACTTTTAAGTATCAGTTAATGGTTTTATTTGAGGGAAATGATTCCTTCTCCTCTCAGTACCAGGGAAACTCCATCAAGCTTTTCTCTTGCTATTGTTTAATATGTGCCCTTATTTTGTGGAAAACATCAAATGATGACAAGTCAGTTTCATTGACTGAAACATTTTCATTCACAAAAGTATACAAATCACATCATAAACTTTTATCCTCTGAATTGTGATTTCTCATTAACCTCAAGGGGAAAAATGGAATTTAGGAATTATAGTGTAGTTTTAGTTGCTTTAATTGCTATTCACTTTTAATCAATGCTTATATTCTTTGATAACTAATTTACATGAGTAGTAATGTAATAATGGTATTGTTTTCATTATAATTCAAATTTCATTCAATGTGTATTGAAGATAAATATTTTAAACTTTGGCTTGTTTTTTACTTTAAAATTTCTCTCAGAATCACTGATTCAAAACTAAAAGAAATAAATAAAAACATTAACACATATTTTAATGATTTTTTAAATTACCTTTTTATTTTGCTTTAGAAAAAAGCATCATGTCAAAAAAGTTCCGAGTATCTAATGGAGAGTGGTGACATTTCAAAAAGTATACAAAAAGAACACAGAATCCATGTTGGGATATCTACACTCTCCAAAATGAAAGCTCCTCAGGAAGCCATTTCTAAAGAATTGGAGGAATCTAAGCAACTCCTTCTAGAGGGATTTGAAGATGTGAGAAGAAAACAAGATGAGATCATTCAGGGTGTAGAAGCTTTTTCAAAGCAAGTGAATGAGTAAGTCAAAACATAGAATCGCAGACAATAGCTTACATTCACTAATTTGCCACTAAAGCATAATTCTTAGTGAAACAGATTCCTGAGATTAGTAAGGATATAATCTACCTAGACAAAGTGATTTTGGAAAATAATGTTAGTAAATGAAATTACCAGTAAATTTTTAGTGCAGAACAATTTATGTAAATGTTAACAACTCTGTTAACTTAAGTTCAAGATTACAACTTAAGTGTCTAGCATCTCTTCCTCCCCCTGCTCCACCTGTTGGTACAATATGGCACTTGTCTAGTTACTTTTCCTTTATTGTGATCATTGGTATTACCACTAAAGGATGCCTTGAGAAAGATTAAGAAAGAGAGGAAGGAAAGTATAGTGTCTGGAAGAAAGAAAGAGCAAGTCCCACCTTTGACGTCTTCCTAGCTGCTTTAGTTGTTGCTGAATACTTACTTGGCTATCTCATTCCCCACAGTCATTGTTGTTCTGAGTTATCTCTCAATGCCAAAAATCAAGCATTTGCTTAATTTCTTCCAAAAAGTGGGTGAAAAAAGCAGGGCTGTCAAAAGTAAGCACCTGAAAATGTTTTTGGTGGTATTCTAAATCTCTTAGTTTTCTATCCTTTTTAAAAAGTTACTGTTTCATATATTTAAGTGGCAAAACATGATGTTTTCAAATATTTATATATTAGAAAATGTTTACTAGCATCGAAGAAATCAACATCCATTATATCAGAATTGTTATTTAAATAAAATATTTCTAATGGCATGCGCAAGGATTTTTGAGAATAGAGCCTTTTGGGAGGAAGCAGATGTCACCGATTCAGTCATACAGCATTGACAGGCATCCTTCTCCCTTGTACTGGGTTTGAGTCACGTTGTGAAATTTTCAACTTTAAAAATGAAAAGACCTTAATTATACAGAGACTGTGCTCTGACACATTTTCAGTATTAAAACACTGTTTATTGTGCATGCTCATTGACTCTTACTTTTAAAAATGAAATTCATGTAAGAATTATTAAGGGGAAAATGAAATACTAAACATTGGTTCTTTCAATCTTCGCAGAGCTAATGAAGTGTTAGCAGAGGTCAGAACTAAAAATTTTCTCCTGGAGAAACAACAGACTGGAACATTAACCAAGTCTGTTTCTACGCAAACTGTTTCTACGCAAACTTCGGTAGCGTCACATAGCGTTGGAAATCGTGCTAATAGTTTCTGGCTCAGCAGAGATCTTACTCCACAACAAAACTTGGAGACTCCTACTTCAGCAACTCAGGCTTCACATCACAACACTGCAGAGTCTTTGGACACGGTTAGATATATTGCCTCTTTCCCCTTGGGTTTCAGGTTGTTCATATACTTCTTATTTTTAGTTTGTTGAAGTACTTAGTTTGATTGACATATGGATGCTAGTAATGGTTGTAATTATCCTCATTAATGTAGACATGAAACGCATGTTGCAGCTAATTTTTAAATATATATTTATTTATTTGAGAAGCAGAGATACAGACAGAGGGAGAGACAGAGAGATCTTCCATTTGCGATTCACTCCCCAAATGGGTGCAAAAGCTGGAGCCTAGCCAATCTGAAGTCAGAAACCAGTGGCTTTCTCCAGGTCTCCCATGCAGATGCAGGGGTCCAAGCACCTTGACCATCTTCCACTGCTTTCCCAGGCAATAGCAGTGAGCTGGCTCAGAAGAGGGGCAATGGGGACAAGAACCAGCACCTGTATGGCATTCCAACACTGCAGGCAGAGGCTTAGTCCACTATGCCACAGTGCCATCCTCAATATTTCGCAACTATTTAATAAACTTAACAAATGCAACCAAACTGACATATTTACAAATATTTCAAAACTGCTTTAAGTTAGGTTTTGATAATTGAATATTTTTACCTAGTAACTAAAGATATACTTTGGAATCTGCTAACGTATTTTTAACTTGATTTTCATTTGTGGTCCAAGACACTTTTAAGGTTTGTGCACCATCACATTTTACACTTCTAATCATAGTGAATGATTAGCAAACATTTCATCACAGATGGGTGTTCATTATTTAGAGTCCAGGGGTGAGTGTTGTGGTGCAGTGACTTGGGTCATCCTGGAAATGTCCTTGGCCCATATCTGAGTACTACTTTGTGTCCGGATCCTCCACTTCCAATCTAGCTTCCTGCCAGTGCATCCTGGGAAGTAGCAGATGATGGTTCAAGTGCTTGGGCCCCTGTCACCCATGAAAGAGGTTCAAATGAGTTTTCAGCTTCCTGGATTCAGCCTAATCCAGCCTTAGCTGTTCTGGGCATATGGAGAGTTAGCTGTCAGATGAAGCATCTCTCTTTGTCTCACTGTCACTCTGCCTTTCAAGTAGCTGAAAAGAAATGAACATTAAAAAAGTAATCCAAGGCAAATGCCTTTGATCATTTTCTTCCATAAGAACACATCCTGAATTACTGCCTTACTTATAGCAAGTTTAGTTCAACTTTTATAAAATGAATCTGTTGCCTGGTAATTGTACAATAGATTTTAAATAGTTAAATCAAATATATAATTGCATTATTTAAGAGGAAGTTCACTCATGCCTATCTTATCTATCACTTGAATTGTTGATCATTATGATGGCAATGATAATCAGGTCTTTAAATTGCAACTACATCAACAGAATCAATTATGTTTTTCTATCCAGGATCCTATATAAAGCCACATATAGTCATTCTCCATTGGAGATGTAACACAGACCTTCCAATCCAACCATGTGGTGACAATGATTACAGTCCATTTCTGGCAACTTAAATTGGATCTGATTGTGGAACATTGTACCAATTTTAAAGTTGCTAAAACCCTGTTGACCCCATTTAACACATTTACCTAATTTTGACATTTTTATGATTGGGGGGACATTACAAATAATAAAACAATTGTATTGAAAGAAAATAAATAACTACAAATAGCAGCTAGACTCTATTTGTATCTTCTTAAAATATTTCCATCAATACACATGATTTATACTTGGAATCCTATTTAAGATATTTTTATTTCAGAGAAAAATTTCAAAAGCCCATTTTGAATGATGTCTCAGCCTGGTTTACTTTTAATGCTTATTTATTTGAAAGCCAATTAGAAGGAGATAGACAGTAAGAATGGGGAGGGAGAGAAAAAGAGAAAGCGAGATCTTGCCACCATTGGTTTACTCCCCAAATGGCTGTAATAGCCAGGTCTGGGCCAATCTGAATCCAGAAGCCATCCTTATCTCCCATATAGAATGTAGTTGTCTGGACCATCTTCAGTGCCTTCACCAGATGTATTAGTGGGACATTGGGTCAGAATCAGAGCAGCCAAGACTCAAACTGGGTCTAATAGTGGATGCCAGCATTGCCAACTGCACCTTAATACATTGTACCATTACTCTGGCCCCTCAACTTTGTTTTCTAAGTTGACTTGATGATAAATCATAGTCTAGCATATTCGAATTTTCTTAGCATTGCAGCAAAAATCTTACATGGAGACACATATAATGGCTTTTTTGTTCATAAATTATAAGATCACAGCTGTTTTTTTCACCATTTTGTGAGCTTAGTTTCATTCTGTTCTGAAAAGCAAAAGGAAAGAATCTGGGTGCAAGTGCTTTGGAGTCATAAAAATGGGCTATAGAATATAAAATAAAAATGGATGCTAAATACTTCTGTACAGTGTTAATCATAATGCAAATATGAAACATTGTCAGTAATTACGACCAGAAAATTAAGGTGATATATGATTTTACAATAGATGATGAAAGAATACATACAGATGTGAGAATAATGGAAGATTTTTTTCAGGAAATAGATCTCCACTTTTTTTTTAAATAAAACCAGTGCTTATTTTTTAATATTTCTAGAAAAGTTTAAGTAGTTTATTTTAAGCTTATCATAGTAGGTCCACAATATACTTGGTTTCTTAATGAGGCAATAATTTGCAAAATCATACTAGACTTAGGTAAAAATCACTATTCTGTCACAACACACCACTGCAAAAATGCCTTGGAAGAGTTTCTATGCATTTTTCCATTGTTCACAAAATCCTTATTTGCAAAAACAAATGTTTTCTACAGTTGTGGCAGACTGAGTTATTTCTACTTGGAAAAATCTAATAATATTATGAGAGGTGATAACATACTATCTAAGTGATAGAAAAGAGTAGGGTTATGAATGGGACATCCATACAACCAAATTAGCAGATTTTAGCTTTGATTCCAGAAAGCAACACATTAAGAAAATAACTGAATTATTTTACCCATTTCCTTTATTTTTAAGAGTTGAGTATTTTGTATTATTCATAGGATCTATCAGCATATTCTAATTTTAAGAAAAATGATAAGTTAATGCTTTCGCCTATGATTTCACTATGACTGTTGTTAAGGCAAGGTTTCTCCATGTTCCTAACATTGAGCATTTTTTGAATCTCTCACCATTATATGAAGTTTAACCTTGCCACTTAACACGATTACAGTGATAATAAATGGCTACATGTATGTTTTTTGCTAAATTTTCATTCCAAACTGGAATTCTAATTAATCCTAGCATGTTTTGGCCTGTGTATAAGTGATTCTATAATTTTATTATTTGTTATACAAATACATTATTATAAAATAACAAGAATGAAAATTAGCCTGAAAATTATCCACTGATTGGATATTTTGCATATAGAAATCTTTGTTGACCATTGAAATATAAAATATTGAGACCAGTTTTTATAGGGTAAAACTTATCTGCTTGTCAAGAAACTGCTTCCAAATTCTTTTCTCTGCAACAAAATACATGTATTTAATACTTGTAAAACTGTAAAAATATTTGCAAAATTATAAAAACAATGTAATTTATAAACTGGCAAGTATAATTTCCTCTGTATGTTATTTATAATTCTATCTTGAACTACAACAGTTTAAATGGGCAAACTAACTTGATTTTGTTTAAACTCAGTGCATATTTCCTAGTTCTTAAAATATTTATGTGATGGACAGAATTACAGAGAGAGAAGAGAGGTAGAGATACAAACCAATCTTCCATCCACTGGTTCACTCTTTGAATGACCACAATGGCTGGGGTTTAGCCAAGCTGAGGCCGGGAGCCAGGAGCTTCTTCCAGGTTTCCGACATGGGTGACAGCTTACAAACACTTGGACCATTTTCCACTGCTTTCCCAAGCGCATTAGCAGGGAGATAGACTGCATGGAAGCAGAGCAGTCAGGACTTGAACTCACACCCATATGGGATGCCAGAGCTGCAGGCAGCAGCTTAACTTGCTGTGCCACAGTGCCAGTCCCACATACTGATTTATAAAAGATTTGAGTTCTCCCTCAAATACAGCAGGATGTCAAAACTATAATTTCAACATACCAATAATCACTGAAAAACTATAGAGAGGTGTGCATATGTGCAGTGTTCATAGCTATGAAATTAATCTCTAAAAGACAATGCTGCATTATTTTCTGAGCAGCAATCTCAAGTATAATTTAGCCATAGCCTGTCAGTACATCATTACTGAGTGAGTACATTTGTTTCTGTATTTGATGTGCTTTGTTACTGCTATGGAGTTCACTTTCTGAAATATTCCTCCAACTCTTCTCCATCTTCAAACTGTTATTTAAAAAGAATTTTCAGAAAGTCTGCAAACTCAAGGGAGAAAAACACATTTCCATTTTGGTTTCATATTGATCTTTTTAGTAATTTTCTTGTTGGAATTTTTGACTTTTTGGTAGCAAGTGGCACTCCCTTTCCCTTTCTGAGTTCATTGGAATTGCAGCAGCCTGCACATAAATTGGTCATCTGACACTGGACTCAGGTGACCCAAGCAGCATTTTAAGCTCTGCACCAAATACCTGCCATGAAAGTGTCTTGTAAAAGGTCATCTAATATTTGAAAGTTTTCACTTGTGGGTATGAGCTGAACCACAGCAACCTCCTACCAGTAAGGATGAAAACAGTATTCAACACTCAAGGCCCTTTGACTAATTGCTCTTTGAAGGGAAGACCCCTCCCTATACTCTGGCTATTTGGTTTTACACTATGAGATTGTGTATCTTACCTGGTTCTCAAAGGCAGTTGTCCTCAGCTGTCATATCTGGTGTAAAGCAGTAAAGAATGAAAGAAAGCCTGGAGGAGAATTTTTGTAAAGGGAGGCACTTCTACAAGTACCCATTACTTTAACATTCAGTTAGCCATCCATCCATCCATCCATCCATGCATCTATATATGTGAATGATAGCGCAACAGGGAGAGCAGGAAATCTTCCATCCAGTGGTTCACTCCCTGAATGTTGGCAACTGCCAGGACTGGACCAGACTGAATCAGGAGCCTGGAACTCCATCTGGGTCTCTAACAAGTGTAGCATAAACCCAGGCATCATTGCCACAATCTGCTGCCATGCAGGCACACCAGTAAGAAGCTGGATTTGAATAATGGATGAAAGCTGATCCCTAGATACTCTGTTGTCATCCTGTCACACCACAATGCCCACCACCCATGTATTCATTTTCCCCCCAATCCTGGGGTTTATTGATTGCATTAAAATTTCTAAAAATTTTAAGTGTTTTTTTTATTTTAACTTTTAATTAGTTTTTAACAGACTCATTTTACTTTGTACATGTAGTCCTAAGGACCTAATAACTTTCCCCTCCACCTTTACACTCTCCCCATCTCTCCCTCCCAAACTTTCCTCCCCCCCTTTTTTTTAAGTTTTTGAGATAACATTTCAAATTTACATTACAGTATGAAGGCTTAACACTTCCCAGAATAAGAAGTTTAACAAGCAAAAAGCAAAAGACCCTAGTTTAGTGGGAAAAATAGACAATGGTATAAAAATAATGTACAATAAATTCTGAAGTAGTCACAGATCATTGAAACTAGAGTAATATAACACATTTAACCACTGGATTCACAAAGATATATAACAAAAGTTTACAAAACAGTCTTTTCAGTAATGCTAATACACATAGACATTTCTTTTTTCTTCTATTTTATTTTTAATTTTAGCCCCTACAAATAAAGGAGAGCATGCAGTATTTGTTTTTCTAGGTCTGGTTTATTTCAGTCATCCTGATGTCCTCCAGTGGCATCCATTTGGCTTCAAGTGGTAGAATTTTCTTCTCTTCTTTATACCTGAATAATATCCCATTGTGTATATCTACCACATTTTCTCTATCCATTTTTCTGATGGTGGACACCTTCATTGATTCCCAATGTTGGCTCTTGTGAAGAGCTTCTATCAACATAATTATGAAGGTATCTCTTAATAGTATTCAAGTCTTTAAGATATACCCAATGTGGGATTGTTGGATCATATGGCAAATCTAGTTCTAGTTGTTTTTTTTTTTTTTCAGATATCTCCACACTATTTTCCACAGTGGCTTCAGTAATTTATATTTCCACCAATAGTGTATAAGTATTCCCCTTTCTCTACATCCTCACCAGCACTTGTTGCTTTCTGTTTTGGATTTTAGCCATTCTGACAGGGGTGAGGTGATAGCTCATTGTGGTTTGATTTGCATTTCCCTGATGGCTTGGGATGCTGAGCCTGTTTTCACATATTTGTTGGCCATTTGTATTTCTTCTTTTGAAAACTGTCTATTAAAGTCCTTTGCCCATTTCTCAACTGGATTATTTATTATTGTTGAGTTTTTAAAGTTACTGATATATCTGGAATATTAATCCTTTGTCAGAAAAGTGATTTGCAAATATTTCCCCATATTTTGGATGTCTCTTCACTCTATTGATTATTTTCTTTGCTGTGCAAAAGCTGCTGAGTCTGATATAGTCCCATTTATTTAGTTCTGCTTTTGTTGGCTGTGCTTGGGGATCTTATCCAATAAGCCATCCCCTACAGCAATGTCTTGGAGTGATTTTGCTATGTGTTCTTCCAGCAATTTCATAGTCTCAGGTCTAAAATTTAAGTCTTTTATCCATCTTGAGTTTATTTTTGAATATGGTGATAGGTATGGATCTAATTTCATTCTTCTACACATATAAATCCAGTTTTGCCTGCACCATTTGTTCAAGAGACTATCCTTACTTCCACTGTTTGGTCTGAGCACTTTTGTCAAAAATCAGTTGGCTTGTATGTATATGGATTAATTTCTGGGCTCTCTGTTCAGTTCCATCATTCTATGTATTTTTTTTACTTTTATTTAATGAATATAAATTTCCAAAGTACAGCTTATGGATTACAATGTCTTTCCCCCCACATAACTTCCCTCCCACCCGCAACCCTCCCCTTTCCCGCTCCTTCTCCCCTTCCATTCACATCAAGATTCATTTTCAATTCTCTTTATATACAGAAGATCAATTTAGTATAAATTAAGTAAAAATTTCATCAGTTTGTACCCACACAGAAACACAAAGTATAAAGTACTGTTTCAGTACTAGTTATAGCATTAAATCACAATGTACAGCACATTAAGGACAGAGATCCTATATGAGAAGTAAGTGCACAGTGACTCCTGTTGTTGACTTAACAAATTGACACTCTTGTTTATGGCATCAGTAATCACCCTAGGCTCTTGTCATGAGTTGCCAAGGCTATGGAAGCCTTTTGAGTTCACCGACTCTGATCATATTTAGACAAGGTCATAGTCAAAGTGGCAGTTCTCTCCTCCCTTCAGAGAAAGGTACCTCCTTCTTTTTTGACCTGTTCTTTCCACTGGGATCTCACTCGCAGAGATGTATTGGTTTTTATACCAGTACTATGCTGCTTTGATCACAATAGCTTTGTAGTATGCTTTGAAGTCAGGTAGATGCCTCCCGCTTGACTTTGCTCATTCAGGATTGCTTTGGCTATTCTAGGTCTTTTGTGATTCCATACAAGTTTTAGGATTGCTTTTTCTAGTTTTGTAAAGAATGTCATTGGTAGTTTGATAGGGATTGCATTGAATCTGTAGATTGCTTATATAGAATAGACATTTTAATGATTTTGAATCTTTCAATCCATGAGCAAGTGGTATCTTTCCATTTTTTTGGAGTCCTTAATGACCTCTTCTTCAATGTTTGAGACTTTTCATTGTATGAACCTTTCACTTCTTTGGTTCAATTTATTCCTAAACAGTTGATTTTTTGGTGACTATTGTGAATGAAATTTCTTTTTTCTTTTTTGACAGTGAATGAAATTTCTTTCTTGATTTCTTTTTCTGTGAGTTCATCATTAACCTAGAAAAAGCACTTGATTTTGTATATTTATTTTGTAACTTGCAACTTTACTGAATTGGTTTATCAATTCTAACAGCTTTTTGGTGGAGTGTTTAGGTTTGTCCACATAAATCATGTCCTCTAAAAACACATATGATCTTGCTGAAATTGCTTTACAAAATGTTCTCTATAAAGTTACGGTTTCTTTAACATGAAAGTAAGGAACTTTTGAAGAAGGACATCCATTTTTTCTATGTAAAACGTATACTATTAAATATTTTTGAGTGTAATATAATATCTATTATACATATGAAATATATATAGAGGAGAACTATTGAGGAAAATAATATTACATTGGTAGTTCCTTCATTCAAATTATGTAAGAATGTGATTTATACTTTACGTAATTTTTATTTATGACAACATAAGATTCTACCAGTAACTGTTCTTTCCGACATATTGTAGTGAGTTATTCCCCCCCCCTATTCTACTTGGTGAAGCTGTTGACACGTTGTTCAATTTCTAAAGTTTGCCCTTCAGGATCTTGACACCTCAACTTTATGGGAAAGATGTTTTCAGATCATTGAAAAATATAGGAGTCAAGAAAATTTGCCTTCATGCCAGAATGAAGGTATTTATTTTACTTTATCATGATCTCCATGAACTGTTTATTATGTCATGTGTAGGAGTGTTTAAAGCCTGTTGGGATATTTTATTAGATAATAACTTTTATATAAAATATTTAAGTAAGAATATTCTAGAGACAGCTGCAATATATTTTGAAATATTTCTTCACATTTCATAATTAAGTGGATAATTAAAATTAATAACTTCTTAGAACTGTATTTGTGAGTTGTATGAAATGTGTTTATATTAAATAATTTTTTTAAATTATGATCAAACTTAAAAAACAAATGTTTCAAAATTTGACTACATTTTACAACATTTATTTTAAAGGCAGAGATAGAGAGAGGGAGGGAGAGACAGAGAGGTTCATTTGCTTCTTCACTCCCCAAATGGACACAATGGACAGGGCTGGGCCTGGCCAAAGCCAGAGCCTGGAAGTCCACCCAGGTCTCCCACATGGGTGTCAGGGGCCCAAACACTCAGGCTGTCTCTCGCTGCTTTCCCAGGTGCTTTATCAGAGAGCTGCAATGAAAGCGGAGCAGTAGATGCCTTAATACAGGATGCTGGCATCAGAGAAGCTGCTTACCTTGCTGGTCTACAATGCATGCCCCATTGCTAACTTCCTAAAAGAAATGAAAATTAAAGAGTTATACATTGGTTTCCTTATTTCTCATTCTAGAAAGTCATGCATCTAACAATTGAATTTGAAAAGCAGAATTTTCTGAATACTGATGTCCATATGAATACAGTACTGTTGTGTTATAATATACACAGGATGGTTGTTTTATCTAATATTTTCCCAGTAGAATTTTTACATGACATTATGACAGTACCACTTTCGTTACTTATTTGCTTAATATTCCATGATGAAAATACCATGGAATACTTTAAAATTAGTTTTTCTTGACATGGGTAATGGAAAATTCAGTTTATGGAAACACATGAAAGTGAAAAAAATCATCTTTTATAAAGTATAGAGTTGTTCTAGAAGTACAGAGTCATTCATTTATTGTAAAATCTGACTTGACTTGTTTTAACCTTTGTACTAATTAAATGCCACCCTTCTAAAATAATGTGTATGAAACAGATTAATGCTAAATGTACTTTTTAATCATATTTTCCTATTGGGTTAACATAAAATCACTAGGAATTTTGTTTAATATATGTGACTGTTTTTCTATTTAAGCCATCTTCAAGTTTGGTCTAGTCTTTAAAAGAATTAAGGACCATATTTTTAACTGATAGTTTATTCCCGTGATAATGTAACTAGTTTAACTTAAATATTATACATAAAATTTTCCTTGTTTCAGATGTGGAAAGCACACCACAATTTTAAGTAGCAAATGAGATGGAGGTATGTTGTCAAATTTTGTGAATGCATTGATTTATGACAAACTGTAAGTAGCAAGTGGCATCCCTTTTTATTTTTGGTTCACTACTTTACATAAAGCTAATGAATTATGTGAACATATCAACATTATAATGAGGAATATATTTATTATATAGTCTTCATATCCCATAGCTTAAAAATATCTCAAAAAGGTTTATGGTCCTCTCTTTTTTCTGACTCTACACTTTGTACGCTTCTGCTCTCTCTGTGATACTGTCAGCCTACATACGAAAGCTGTTTTCAGAAGACAGTGGCATCATCAGCTTCTCAAGTGCATCATAGTGACATAAGGGCCATCTCAAGTCCTTGTCATAGCCAGTCAAGCAATGACAGTTCATAAGCAGCTGCTTGACAGTAGCACTTAACATCTGGGCTCATTTACTTTTACCCTCAAGAAAGTTTCCAAAATCCTTAGCAAAGAAAAAACCACAAATCCATTTGTCAAGACTAACCAGCCTACTTATGATACCACAAGTTCTCTTCCTGAGCTCTATCTCTTTGCATTCAGTCTGCTTTCCATCTATCAGGTATACTTTTTCCTTGTACTGTCAACTTCCATGCCACTGCCACTAAAAAACCTACAGTAATGACATAAAATTAGAAACAATTTCTCTTCTGTGTGTGTGGTGATAGTGCCCTACTTTATTCCTGTCCCCATAGGGAAGTTGCCTCCTCATCTATATTTTTTAAAGATGTATTTATTTATTTAAAAGTTACAGTTCCACACAGAGAGAAAGAGAGGTTTATATAGAGAGAGAGGTCTTTCATCCACTGGTTCCCTCCCCAATTGGCCATAATGGCTGGAGCCAGGAGCTTCCTCTGTGTCTTCCCATGCAGGTGCGGGGGCCCAAGGACTTGGGTCATCTTCTACTGCTTTCCCAGCCATAGTAGAAAGCTGGATCAGAAGTGGAGCAGCTGGGACTTGAACTGGTGCCCATATGGGATGTGGTGGCTTTACCCTCTCTGCCATAGCGCTGGCCCCTTCATCTATATTTTTAGACATAGCATATGGTTATTTAGAGATGGACAGTATTATCTTCATCTTTAATCACATTGTTAAGCTGAGGAAAGAATGAAAAAAAAAAGAAAAATACAGGATCACTGATATTTAACTCACAGTAATAATTCCATTGTGTAAATATAGACAAATTATATTTAATAGTAATTTTGTACTTTAGTAATATATACAAATTTTTCTTGAAATTATCAACTTGTACTGATTTAAACAATTATGACATCTTTGATATTAAAAAAATGGAATTCTTTCCTTTTTTTCCAGCCACTGAGGAACTTAAAAAGTGACCCAGGAGCCAACAATGAGTCCAATTTAAGTCAACATGTCAAAAGAATATGTACACATTTTAAAGAAAAAATATGCTCTGTATTACAAGCAATTACTGACCACTGCTATGTAACACATTTACCATTTACTTATGCTTTATATTATAAAATTTTACTGACCACTGCTTATGGAACACACCTGTTATTTCTTTTTAAATATATTATGTGGGAAAATCCTCATTAACTGAAAACATTTAGTGTTATGTATCTACAATTGAAATTTTGTATTTCCAATTTATATTTTTTGAAAGACAGAGATAGTGGTAAGGGAGGGAGCAAGAAAAAGGGAAAGGGGAAAAGAGGGGGAAAACAGAGAGATCCCCCTTCCAATAGTACAGCACCCATATATCTGCAGTGAAATATAGGTGGGCTGTGCTGAAGCCAGGATCCAGGAATTCAGTTCAGGCATCCTACTTATGTGGCAAGGATCCAATTACTTGTTCTATCACTCGCCACTTCCCAGAGCACACATTATTGGAAGCTAGGAATCAGGATGGGAGCCTGGTCTTGCTAGGGATTCCACCAGGGATGCAGGATATTTCAAACGGCATCTTAACTTCTGTTCCCAATGGCAGGCCAGTTGCAGCACATGAAACTGTTTGTTGGGATGTATAACTAACTTAGCACAGATTTTGCAAATGAAAACCAGTATGATTAACTTTCGCAAACTCAATTGTCCAAATGGTGGCCATTATATAGCACCCAGAAAACCAAGTTGAATGGAATACTTTAGTGGGATTAATTAAGGGCTTCTTTGTATTTGCCAATTTTTGCTACTACATACAAACCTAATGATTTCGATAGACATCATTTTGGTATACTGATACTCTGGCCAGTGTCAATATCATTGCTTGGATGCAATATAATTTTATAGTGCTACCAAAATTATGTAATGTTAACTTTAGGCATTGATTCATACACCTTCTTCATGGAGAAATTATGTTTGCCTGTGGTTTTCCATGTTTCCTTTTTAGTTTTTATTACCTTTTAGGAAACAATCTTAAAATTTAAAAAAAAAAATTAAGTTTTAGTACAAATAATTTGCCCTCTTAAAGAAAGTGAGAGTCATCTGCTGACATTATGCCATCAGCTCTGACTACTTTGGAATATATTTCCTATAAGTAAGACATACTAAATACAATAAAACACTCAGAATCACAAAGTTAACACTATTCTGTGTATCCGCAGATTCTTTTCCAGTTTTGTTACATGTCTTGTGATGTCCTTGATAATAAGAGAGTCCCATTCAGATCCATGAATTTCTTTTAGTTGTTGCCTTTCTTAGATTTCTTCAATCTGGAGGAGTTCCTTCCTTTTCTTTGACATTAATGACCATGGATCTTTTGAAGACTAAATTCCAATCATGCAGAATGTCCCTGATTGGATATTTTCTGATATTTCAGTATAATTCGGTTAGGATTATACAGTTTTTGTTAAGGGCATAACAGAAGGGATTCTGTGATCATTGCATACTGTCATGTAACCTACACTTTTGATTTCTCCCATTACTAGTGATGTTGCTGATGCTGTCTGTTGCATTTCTCCTCTGTAATGTTCCTTTTTTACATTTCACTTAGTTTTAGTCAGGTTTCATTTGAGACTAAATATCTGTTCTTTCTCAATTTTTTTATGATTCAATTTTTATGTTTTTTTAGAAAACTTATATTTAATAAATATAAATTTTGAAAGTACAATTTTTGGGTTATAGCTATTTTCCCCCACATAACCACCCTTCCATCCAAAAATCATCCCACCTCCTATTCCCTCTCCCATCTCATTCTTCATTAAGATTATTTTTGATTATACACAGAATATCAACTTAGTATATACTAAGTAAAGATTTCAACAATTTGTACCCACACAAAGTATAAAGTACTGTTTGAAGAATATTTTTACCATTAATTCTCATAGTACAACACGTTAAACACAGAGATCCTACATGGGGAGTAAGGACACAGGGACTCTTGTTTCTGATTTAACAATTGATACTCTTACATTTATGACATCAGTAATAACCCGAGGCTCTTTTCATGAGCTGCCAAGGCTATGGAAGCCTCTTGAGTTCACAAACCCTGACCTTATTTAGACAAGACCATAATCAAAGTGGAAATTCTCCCCTCCCTTCAGAGAAAGGTACCTCCTTCTTTGATGGCCCATTGTTTCCGCAGGGATCTCACAGTGATCTTTCAGTTAGGTCATTTTTTGCCACAGTGTCTTGGCTTTCCATGCCTGAGAAACTATCATGAGCTTTTTAGCGAATCTGAATGCCTTACGGCTGATTCTGAGGCTAGAGTGCTGTTTAGGGCATTTGCCATTCTGTGAGTCTGCTGTGTATACTGTATACTGCTTCCCATGTTGAGTAATTCTCTCTTTTTAAATTCTACCAAGTATTAATTAGCAGACACTGGTCTTATTTATGTGATCCCTTTGACACTTAATACTATCTTTATGGTCAATTATGAACTTAAACTGATCACTTTAACTAGTAAGATGGCATTGGTACCCTGCCAACTTAATGGGATTTGGAGTCCATAGCACGTTTTTAGCTTTACCTTTAGGGGTAAGTCCAAGTGAGCCTCTGCCGAACTGTACATCTCTTCCCTCTCTTATTGCCACTCTTATTTTTAACAGGGATAAATCTTCAGTTCAATTCTAACTGCTAAGAATAATTGCATGTTAAATAAAGAGATTGACCAATGGTATTAAGTAGAAAAAGAAAATACAAAAAAAAATAGTAAGTTTTTTCTTGACAGTAAGGACAAGGGCTGATCAAATCGCTGTTCCTCATAGTGTCAGTTTCACTTCCACCATTTTCAATGTAGGGGCTTGGTTAGTTGTCACAGATCAGGGGAACATATGATATTTGTCCCTTTGGGACTGGATTAATTCACTCAGCATGATGTTTTCCAGATTCCTCCATTTTGTTGCAAATGACTGGATTTCATTTCTTTTATCGATGAGTAGTATTCTACAGAGTACATATCAAATGATTTCTTTATCTAGTCTACTGTTGATGGGCATTTGGGTTGATTCCATGTCTTAGCTATTGTGAATTGAGCTGCAATAAACATTAGGGTGCAGACAACTCTTATTTGCCAATTTAATTTCCTTTGTGTAAATTCCAAGGAGTGCAATGGCTGGGTTGTATGGTAGGGTTATATTCAGGTTTCTGAGGAATCTCCAGACTGACTTCCATAGTGGCTTGACCAGTTTGCATTCCCACCAACAGCGGGTTAGTGTCCCTTTTTCCCCACATCCTCACCGGCATCTGTTGTTGGTAGATTTCTGTACATAAGCCATTCTAACTGGGGTGAGGTGAAACCTCATTGTGGTTTTGATTTGCATTTCCCTGATGGCTAGTGATCCTGATCATTTTTCATGTGTCTGTTGGCTGTTTGGATTTCCTCTTTTGAAAAATGTCTATTGAGGTCCTTGGCCCATCTCTTGAATGGATTGAATGTTTTGTTGTTGTGGCATTTCTTGATCTCTTTGTAGATTCTGGTTATTAATCCTTTATCAGTTGCATAATTTGCAATTATTTTCTCACATTCTGTTGATTGCCTGTTCACTTTAATGACCTTTCCTTTTGCAGTACAGAAACTTCTCAATTTGATGTAATCCCATTTGTTAATTTTGGCTTTGTCTACCTGTGCCTCTGGGGTCTTTTCCAAGAAGTCTTTGCCTGTGCCTATATCTTGCAGAGTTTCTCCGATGTTCTCTAATAATTTGATGGTTCCAGGTTGTGGTGTTGATCTTTAATCCATGTTAAGTGGATTTTTGTGTAAGGTGTAAGGTAGGGGTTTTGCCTCATACTTCTGCATGTGGAAATCCAGTTTTCCCAGCACCATTTGTTGAAGAGACTGTCCTTGCTCCAGGAATTGGTTTTAGCTGCTAGATCAAATATAAGTTGGTTGTAGATGTTTGGATTGATGTCTAGTATTTTTACTCTGTTCCATTGGTCTTGCCATCTGTTTCTGTATCAGTACCATGGTGTTTTGATTATAACTGCCCGGTAGTCTGTAGTATGTCTCGAAATCTGGTATTGTGATGCCTCTGGCTCTGTTTTTATTGTACAAGATTCTCTAGCTATTTGAGGTCTCCTGTGCCTCCATGTGAATTTCAGCATCATTTTATCCAGATCTGAGAAGAATGTCTTTGGTATTTTGATTGGTATTGCATTGAGTCCGTAAATTGCTTTGGAAGAATGGACGTTTTGATTATATTGATTCTTCCAATCCATGAGCATGGAAGATTATCTCACTTTTTGGTATCCTCTTCTCTTTCTTTAGTTTTGTAATTCTCATCATAGACATCTTTGATATCCTTAGCTAAGTTTATTCCAAGGTATTTGCTTTTTTATTGTCGCTATTTTGAATGAGATAGATAGAAGTTCTTTCTGAGCCATGGCATTGTCTGTATATAGAAAAGTTGTTGATTTTTTTTTCCTTTCTTTCTTTCTTTTTTTTTTTTTTGACAGGCAGAGTGAACAGTGAGAGAGACAGAGAGAAAGGTCTTCCTTTTGCCATTGGTTCACTCTCCAATGGCCACCACGGCAGGCGCACTGCGCTGATCCGATGGCAGGAGCCAGGTACTTATCCTGGTCTCCCATGGGGTGCAGGGCCCAAGTACTCGGGCCATCCTCCACTGCACTCCCTGGCCACAGCAGAGAGCTGGCCTGGAAGAGGGGCAACTGGGACAGAATCCGGCACCCTGACCAGGACTAGAACCCGGTGTGCTGGCACTGCAAAGCGGAGGATTAGCTAGCCTAGTGAGCCGCGGCACCGGCCAAGATGTTGATTTTTGTGCATTGATTTTATATCCTGCTACTTTGCCAAACTCTTCTATGAGTTCCAATAGTCTCTTAGAGGAATTCTTTGGATCCCCTAAATAAAGGATCATATTGTCTGCAAAGAGGGATAATTTTAATTCTTCCTTCCCAACTTGTATCCCTTTAATTTCTTTTTCTTGCCTAATGGCTCTGGCTAAAACTTCCAGTACTATATTGAATAGAAATGGTGAGAGTGGGCATCCCTGTCTGGTAACAGATCTCAGTGGAAATGCTTCAGACTTTTCCCCATATGATATCAGCCTTGGATTTTTCATAAATTACCTTGATTGTGTTGCGGAATGTTCCTTTTATACCCAATTTGTTTAGAGTTTTCATCATGAAAGGGTGTTGTATTTTATCGGATGCTTTCTCTGCATCTATTGAGATATCATATGGTTTTTCTTCTGTAGTTGGTTAATGTGGTGTATCACCTTGATTGATTTGCGAACGATGAACCATCCCTGCATACCAGGGATAAATCCCACTTAGTCTGGGTGGATGATCTTTCTGATGTGTTGTTGCATTCTATTAGCCAGAAATTTATTGAGGATTTTGGCCTCTATTCATCAGGGAAATTGGTCTGTAATTCTCTTGCCTGCATCTTTTTCAGGTTCAGGAATTAAGGTGATGCTGGTTTCATAGAAAGAATTTGGGAGGATTCCCTCTCTTTCAATTGTTTTAAATAGTTTGAGGACAATTGGAGTTAGTTCTTTAAATGTCTGGTAGAATTCAGCAGTGAATTCGTCTGGTCCTTGGCATTTCTTTGTAGGGAGGGCCTTTATTAATGATTCAATTTCTGACTTGCTTATGAGTCTGTTTAGGTTTTCTGTGTCTTCATAGTTCAATTTAGGTAGGTTGTATGTGTCCAGCAATCTATCCATTTCTGCTAGATTTCCCTGCTTGTTGGCATACAACTCTTTGTAGTAATTTCTGATGACTCCTTATTTCTGTGGTGTCTGTTATTACATTCCCCTTTTCATCTCTGATTTTATTTATGTGGGTCTTTTTTTAGTTAGTTGAGCCAATGGGGTGTCAATTTTGTTTATTTTTTCAAAAAAACCAGCTCTTCATTTTGCTGATCTTTTGTATTTTTTTTGAATTCAATTCTTTTGATTTCCTCTCTAATTTTAATTATTTCTCTTCTACTAGTTTTGGGTCTGGTTTGCTGCAGTTTTTCTAGATCCTCGAGATGCATTGATAGCTCATTTATTTGGGGCCTTTCCAATTTCTTGATGTAGGCACCTATTGATATAAACTTTCCTCTTAACACTGCTTTTGCTGTATCCCATAAATTTTTATATGTTGTGTTGTTATCATTTACTTCCAGAAAGTTTTTGATTTCTCTTTTGATTTCTGTATGACCCACTGTTCATTCAGGAGCATGTTGTTCAGTCTCCATGTGTTTGCATATGCTCTAGAGATTCCTGAGTTGCTGATTTCTAGCTTTATTACATTCTGGTCTGAGAGACGCCTGTATGATTTTGATTCTTTTGAATTTGCTAAGACTTGCTTTATGGCCTATGGTAGGTTCTGTGTACTGCTGAGAAGAATTTATATTCTTTAAGTGCAGGATGAAAAGCTTTATACATATCTGTTAGATCCATTTGATCTATATGTCAATTAAATCTACTGTTTCTTTGTTGATTTTCTGTCTGGTTGATCTGTCCTTTGCTGAAAGTGAAGTATTGAATTCCCCCACTACTACTGTATTGGAGTCTTAGTCTCCTTTCAGTCTCTTAACATATCTTTTAAATATCCCAGTGCCCTGTAACTAGGTGCATAAATGTTTATAATAGTTACATCTTCCTGTTGGATTGATCCCTTAATCATTATTTAGTGTCCCTTTTTGTTTTCTTTTAACAGTTTTGTTGTTAAAGTCTATTTTGTCTGATATTAAGATAGGCATGCCAGCTCATTTTCATTTTGGTTGGCATGGAATATCTTTTGCCAACCTTTCACTTTCAGTCTGTATGCACCTTTGTTGGAAAGATGTGTTTCTTGTAAGCTGCAAGTAGCTGGGTTTTGTTCCTTAATCCATTCAGCCAGTCTGCGAATTTTAGCTGGAGAGTTGGGGCTATTTACGTTCATTATGACTGTTGGTAAGTAGTGACTTGACCTGTCATTTTTCCAAAGATATATTTGAACTTCCTGTGATCTTTTACTGAGAGATTTTTTTTCCTTTACCTTCTTTTGTGTTGATGACAGTGTTTCTGTGTGTAACACATGTTAAGCACCTTTTGCAGGGCTGGACGAGTGGTGACAAATTCTTTCAATTTCTGTTTGCTATGAAAGGTCTTTATTCCACCTTCTTTCACAAATGAGAGCTTTGCAGGATATAATATTCTGGGCTGGCAGTTTTTTCTCTTAGTGCTTGGGCTATATCTTGCCATTCCCTCCTAGCCTGTAGGGTTTCTGATGAGAAGTCTGCTGTGAGTCTAATTGGAGATTCTCTGATGGTAATCTGGCAATACTCTCGCACATTTTAGAATCTTTTATTTATGTTTCACTGTGGTGAGTTTGATTACAACGTGTCATGGAGAGTATCTGTCCTGGTCCTATCTATTGGGAATTCTGTGTGCTTCCTGTACTTGAGGTCTCTTTCTCCAAACTTATGAAGGTTTCTACTAGTATCTCACTAAAAAGGCCTTCTAATCCTTTTTCTCTCCGTGCCTTCAAGAAGTCCCAGAACCTGAATGTTGGGTTTTTTAATAGTATCCTGTAGATTCCCAATAATATTTTTTAGATTTCTAATTTCCTCTTCTTGTCTTTGGTTTGACTGTATAATTTGCTGTGCTCTGTCTTCTAAGTCTGATATTCTCTCTTCTGCCTCACTGATTCTGTTTTTAAGGCTCTCAACTGCATTTTTATTTGTTCTTCTGAATTCTTCATTTCATTTTGATTTCTCTTCAGTATCTCAATTCCATGTTCTATTGGATTCTTCATTTCATTTTGATTCTTCCAAAGATTTCATTTTCTTGAGAGAGATTTTCTTTCATGTCCTGCATGGATTTCAGTAGTTCATGCATTTGTTTTTGATTACTTCTAAGTATTCTAATCATCAAATTTTTGAGTTCCATTTCTTGCATTTCTTCTTTCTCATCAACTTCATTTCATAATCTTGTATTGAAGTGTCATGTTTTTTTTTTTTTTTTTTGGACAGGCAGTGAGAGAGAGACAGAGACAGAGAGAACGATCTTCCTTCCATTGGTTCACCCCCCAAATGGCCACTATGGCCAGCATGTTGTGCCGATTCGAAATCAGGAGCCAGGTGCTTCCTCCTGTTCTCCTATGTGGTTGCAGGGCCTAAGCACTTGGGCCATCCTCCACTGCCTTCCCGGGCCACAGCAGAGAGCTGGACTGGAAGAGGAGCATCCAGGACAGAACCAGCACCCCAACCAGGACTAGAACCTGGAGTGCCGGTGCCGCAGGTGGAGGATTAGCCTAGTGAGCCACGACGCTGGCCAAGTGTCATGTTCTTTTGGGAGTATCATATTGTCTTCCTTATTCTTGTTTCTTGGATTGTTTCAATTGTGGTTTGGCCTTTGTGGAGATACTCATTGATTTCTTCTCTCCCTCCCCCCCACTTCAGTGCCTTTTATTGTTTTACAATGACTTTGTAGATAATTGGAATGTCTGAATCTCTAGAGGCTTGTGGTGGGTGTGGCCAGAGATCCATGTTCAGTTTTTCAAGATTAAGGGCATGCCTAAGGTGACACCCCCAGGTTTGGCATGGTAAATCTTCCCTCCCTTTTATTTTTTAATCAAATGGGAAGCAATTCTGCTCAGCTGAGCTCTTCTCCTCGATGGCAATCAGTGCCTGAGTGCTAGCACGATTGGGCATAATATTCATCTGCTCTGTTCCAAGGACCATGCAAAGGATCTGTGTAGTCCTCAGTATAAGTTCATATTCCCCTGCAATGTCTCTCCCGGGTAACCAGAGCTGTCTGAGCTTGCAGCATCTGCCAATGAGACTCAAAGTCTCAGCCACACCTTGAGTTCTCCCACACCCTCAGGTTTTTTTTCCACAGTCCCAGTTCAGAAGCATCAGTCACAAGTTCCTAGCTGCCTGTTATTTCTCCCTACCAGAGTCTGGAGTCTCCACTCAGCTGATTGCTGGTTGCAGCCCAGAGCTGGCACAGCTGTTACATATGTCCAAAATGGCGCTGACTCTGTTGGCTCCTATGTCTTTGTAAGGTGATTCAAAACGTGTCTGTACTGTCCCTTTTATTTTTTATCTCTAGTTAGGCTAGTGTACTTTCCCCTACAGGGCTTCAAGCCTCATTCCCTCTAGGCCCTTCCTGCTGCTTTTTGGCCAGTGTCTCAGGCTACTGCAGTCTCACTTCACTTTCCAGTGCTGGTGCCTAGGCTCTCGGCTATTTGAATTCCAAGCTGTGGGTGCCCAAGCCCTCCATGTAGGTCCACTGTGTCCCTCTAATTACAGAAGAGTTTCCTCTGCCATTTTTTCCCTAACTCTTCCCTTAGACTACACTAACACCACTTTTATTAAACTATCTTCCTCTGGGCTAGATCAGTAAGCTCCTCCCTATTCTGAAACCTTGGAACTGACTGACAAGCTTCCTTAATGCATATGGTCTCAGCGCAGCATTTTAAGAGCTCTCAAATTTTCTTTTTTTTAATTTTCAACATATTTTTTTACTTCTATCAGTATAAATCCATGTTTTTTTTTCCCCAAGGGTTCTATATATTGACAGTTTGTTTCCTACCAGTTCCTGGAGGTATTTTATTTTATTTTATTTTTCTGCTCCTACTCCTAGAACAATAATGAGAAAAAGTGAATATTATAGGTATTAATGTATCATTGTTATTTCAAAGGAAAATAGTATATAGATGTTGTATTTGGTATTTTTGTTTTGTTTGATTTTTGTAGATAGTCTTAGTGAATTAGTGTTCTATTGCTATATAACATCATCACAAAATTACTTTCTCAAAGTCACATGCAATTGCAATCTCATATTTTGTCTGAGTCCATTCCTAGAGGCTAGTCCCAGTTCTTGACCTTGAGGACTACCTCAAATCACAGGATAATCCAGTATAACCTACTTTTGTACTAACTTTTTTTAATTAATGATTTTGGAATTGTAAAACATCTGCAAAACTTCACAATTCCCATACTGTAATCATCAGAGGGAAGTCACAGATCATGCTCACACTCAGCAGAAGCCAACACAACTTGAGAATACTAAGAGACAGAAACCACTGTCGCCACACTCTCAAATGTCCACCTCAGCTACATGGAGGAAGTTCCTTGATCACAGTAGTTTTTTTAAATTCTTACCACAAGTGAAGGTTAAATGTTATAAGATGTTTATTTTGCATAAATGTAGATTTGTTTGAAAATAGAATTAGAGTTAAGCGAGGATGGCTAAGAAATGCATCTTTGATCATCTTCATGGAATTTTAAAGATTTGTTATCTAAACTTCTGTTAATGGTGGCTAGAATCTCAAGGGTCTCAGGACTGAAATGTCTGAGGCTCTGAACACCTCTTTGCTTTACCCACAGCAGATTGGAAAAAAGAACAGTCTGTTTCTTTCACTCTGACACCAGTCAGCTTTTTGTGCTTTCTCAGTGATCAGTGGATTGTTAAAACTCATCCAGCTTTCTAGACTTCCTACAGTTTGAACTGAAGTGTGTTTATGTATGATACTAAAGGAAACACACAAGCCTGAAAATACCCTGTATGGAAATAATGAGACCTTGAAGAGACATTAATTAACTTCCTATTTTAATCTGTGGCATCTATGTAGCTTCTAAGTTCTTTTAAAGAAGATTTATTTATTATCTATTTAGAAGAGCCATAGCTCCTTGAAGTTCTTTCCCAACAAAGCTTAAATCTATCAAGTGTGATTTGTAATCAATTACAAATGCGACATGGACAGAAAGATACTAAGGAATTTAAAAATCAATATTTGTATATCCTTAATGTTTCAGCACATCTTCTCATAGCTTAATTCTTTTATTACAGCTGAAACTGAGACCCTAAATAATGTATTGAATTTTATATACCATCAGACTCCTGTCTCTAGCCTTCCTTCCTTACATTGACTCGCTGAATTGAGGGACTTTTATAGCCAGCCCTGGAAGTTTATTATCAGATAGCACCTTAATGACTGGAATAGACTCAAGGAGTTTCATTTAGGGGAATTTTAGGCCCAGAGCAAAAAGCATTGAAGCCCACTGGCCATCCAAACCCTGGTCTGAAGAGTTTGGCATTACTGACTAGTGAGGAACTTCAGCATGATCTGAGCCTGTAACTAGATGAGATAACCACTGTGACTCCAGCCAGCCCCTTATTGCCCAGCTGAAGAACACCATATGGCTGTCCCTATTCTACTCTCCTAATAGTCTGACTCCCACCTTCTTACAGCCTCCTTTTAAAAATTCCAAAACACCCTTATTCAGCACATTGGTAGTTCTGGAGTTAGAAGTCTTCTACCCCCTCACCTGTTGATAGACTGAATGGTATCTTTTCTTACCCTCACATCTTAATAGTATTTTGCCTGAGCACTGGGGACAGGAACCAAGAACTTTCAGAAATGGAAAATTTTGGCAAATGTGGCAGATAGGCTGACACCCTTGTTGCTGCCAGGTGCCAATGGATAGATGGATAGAACAATTGGCTGTGGCAATGCACCAAGGTGTACCCACTCAAGCTGTTGGAGGAGGGAGAGGCCACTTCAGTTGGTGTTAACAGTCCCTGCTTTTGAGGTTTTGCCTTCTGGGAGAAACAGGGACAATCCCAGCAGCTGCCAGAGCCACTTGTTGCCCTGGGGAAATTCATATATTATGTTCCATCTTTGTTTTTGTGGTTTTAAAAATATTTATGTTAGGGGAGCTTTTACTAGTACTTCCTCTTCAGTGGCTCAGAAGGCTAGTGCAGCTTTCTCCATGACAACAGTAGCTGTTTCTTGAGTGCACACTGAGTAGGTGGTGTCAAGTAGTACTGGGTTCTGAACTTAAATGATCTTGTGGAACTTTCACAACAACTTAGCCTGCTTCTTAGGCTTTAACCCCAGGGAGCTTCATTTTTATCATCTCTAATGCGAGATTAATAACACTTTCTTGGCTGACGCTAGGGAGCTCGAAGTTGCCAAGGAATTCTGAGCTGAACCTTGATTGAATAAACATTTTAACAACAGATCTGATTTCTTGGGCAATGTAATCTGGAACACGTGGTGGAGAAGAACGGTGTTTTGTTTGTTGGTGAGCTATCTGCTGAGAAACAGAAAGCGTCACACTGAAAACCAATAAAGGTCTAAACTGGAGGTTAAATGCTGCTTGCTGCTCTCCCTAAATAAATGGCTGAGAATTCTATACAAATAGTATTGCTTCTTAGGAGGCCCTACTACCTGTATTGCTGTGCTCCTGTTTGATATTAAGAAAACAAAGCATCCCAAAAGCTGTGCAAAAGCTGCTCAAAGACATTTAAGACAAACAAGTGCTGTGTTTTCCTACGGTGTCTTTTACTTCCAGGTCTGGCAAGGCAGTAATATTTGACAACTATCTGCTTGTAGCAATTCTGTGTGACACATACCTCACCTGATTTTACCCTAAGAACCTGCGGGCTGCTCATACAAGGAATCCTCAGAAAAGTTCGTGGAAGATACATATCACGAAAAATCATGTGTGGATTTTGAAATTCTTTTGAACCAAAATAAATTTATCTTTTCATTCTAAAAAAAAATATTTATGTTAAAGACAGAGTAAAAGAGAAAGAGAGAACTTCCATCTGTTGATTCACTTTCCCAAATGGCTGAAAAGGCCAGGGCTAGGCCAGGCCAAAGCTAAGACCCTAGAACTCCACTGGCTCTCCCTTACGGGTGCAGAGGGCCATCTGCTGCTGCTTTCTCAGGACCATTAGCAGGGAGCTGAATCAGAAGTGTAACAGACAGAACTTGAACTGCTGCTCATATGGGATGCCAGCATTGCAGGGGGCTGCTTCTGCCTCTGTGCATCACTGCCAGCTGTACCACGGTTCTTTTAATCAGTTTTCCTTTCATCGTTTTGACCATCTTCTAGAATGTAGTTTAATTGCGGACTCTATTCCTTGGCTTTCAGGTCAGTTTCTGTATGCTCTTTTCCTCTCCAGTTCTGACTCTAGTATGACTGGACAGCAAATTTTTATCTTAAAATCCTAGATGACAGGATAACTTGATTCTATACTAGTGGTTTTACCCCTTGGTACCTGGCCAAGAAAACCATTTGTGTTTCACTAAGGTAATTTCTTGTGTTATTTGCTTTCTTTGTTTCTTTGTGTTATTTGTTTTCTTTGTTTCTCATTGTTTGCAAAGAGCTGAGTGTTAATAAGGAAGATTGCTTTGGGTGCTTACTCATCTCCCATTATTTGGTGATCACTGTAAGTATGACTACATCAAGTCTATAACTGATTAAATGACTCTAAGTGGGTGGATACTATTTCACAATGAAAAGTGTCCTTATTTTGAACAGTTACTTTGAGGGACTCCTTCCCATCACTGGCCCAGAGATTGAATAGGGACAGTTTCATAAACCTGGCAGATATGTTCTGAGACATTGTATCAACAATTCTGATTCTTCTCTAAAACCCTAAGCAATGTTCTTAAATACAGATTTCTGACTGCTTTAAAGTCAACGGAATAGGTAAGAATGTCCAAAACTTGGGGGGGAAATCCTGGAACACCTAGAAAGTGTCTAATGTAAAACAGGACAAAAATTAATCAGACTAAATGAATTAATGACATCTGGGGATTTCCATCTTTCATTTAAAGTGTTGTGTGTTCTAATATTTCAATGTTTCACCTTCTAGGTTCAGGAAAACTGTTCCTGTGATTTCAGTGGTTTACTGTATTTTGGTGAAGTGTTGTTCTGTAACCAGTGAAGAAGTGTTTACTTTCCACTCCCTCCACGTAATTGCTCTAATCTTCAAAAATTTTTATAAATATGGTATATGTGGGGGGGCAATGTGATTGTCTTCATGAACTCATCAGAATCTGTCCTCATAACAGAATATATTTAGAAACATTGGCATATCTAAATCTCATGCATAAAATGCCTGGCTTGTAGGGTTTTCAGTCTTGCAGTGAGTAAATGGACTTCTCATATTTTAGCAGTTCCAAAAACTTCAAAATACTAGACACTGTAGTTTTAAAAAAAATCTAGGTTTGTCATAGATTTGCCTTTTAATTTGGAGAATTTTCCAAGTGTGAGATTATATGGCAAAGGAAATTTAGTTACTGTATTTAAGGCAAATAGCCAATCAACAAACTATAACATACCTGCTTTTAGACTGTAAATCTGTTCATTGTTTTTAGACTGCTAACTTGGAGAGTTTTCTGGGTCTGAGACTAACATGGATACTCAACCTTTCATGCTGTACTTACATGAATTGTCAGTTATCATGTCTACTATTTGATTGTATCCCTATTCACTATTTTTAAGATGTCAACCTGATTTATCTTGTGCTTGGTGTTTTCCTATTTGAGTGTGTGCCTACTGCCTGTAAGAAGTCTACAGAAGTACAATTCTCAGCAGGATAATGCCTGGCACTTTGAGATGATGATTGGAACCTACAGAATAAACAAAACTAAGTTTAACAATGGACTCCAGGTAAATTTAGTTTGGGAGCCACTTGTTTCACCTCTCTGTTGCTCAAATTGGAACAAAATTGTTCTTTGAAATGCCTCCTGGTCATGACTTCCCTTCCAACATGGCACCAGATGAATAGCTGGGTCAAATCTAACTGGGCAATGAGGGATAAGTAAAGTTTAGCTGCAGGATGGCTGATCAGCATTGTGCCCCCCAAAAGATCATGATCACAAAGAGGAAATAAATATCAAGATGGAATCACAGGTTTTAATCCTAAACAAAATTAGGTTAAAACCAAGAGGTTTTTAAGGGAGGGTCATTATGTGTGATTGCCTGCTAGTAACTGTCACAAAAGACTCTGATAGAACTATACCCATTAAAGAGTACCCCAATTTCAAAAGAGAAATGCTAACTAGAAGTGATACCTGCCATCCTCACATAGAGTGCTAGATTCTATAGACAGCACCTACAGCACACACAGGGAGGTGTTGAGAAAGGGCTTTGACCTCTTTGTACATGAGAAGCAAGGATTAGGACTGGAAGGAATGACTCAAAATTTGGGGAAAATAAAATGACTAATGGTACACATTTCAAAAATGTGGACATTCCACCAAAGACTGGCTGTGGTGTCTGAGAATAACAGCCACTTGTGAAGTACTGCAGGAGACAGAGAGCTCACTTTTGGTCATCTCACCACAGTGCATACAGCTTACTATGTGCTGCCGCTTCTGTAACAATAAGGATCTTACTGCTTGCTTCAGGCCCTATGGTAAAAACTAACCTGTACTATTTGATAACTGAAATGGTCCTGTAAAACTGAATCATATTTTAATCCATCCACCTTGCCCTCAGACTCCCCTGGGGAAACTATGTGACTGATTATAGGTCATGTAACAGATATGTCTGATTAGGCTGGATCTGACCAATATCCCCTTACAGGTTACAGATTGGGAACACTTTGTGTATCAAAACAGCTTCACAGGACAGGACAATCAAGGGTTGGATATGAAGTAGGAACTCTCCCAGAAACTTCAGAATCAATAGCACTGCCACGAGGTATCTTAGCCCAGAAAGCTGAGCTCAAAGCACTCTCCCATCCCTTGCAGCTTAGAGGAAGCACAAGAATAAATATCCACAGCGTTGAAAGGGGAATATTGATGGCCTTGGCTGCTCCTGGGTTAGCGATGATGTACTTGGGCCTCCTTTTTATTCAAAGAAAATAGAAAAACATACAGAAGTCTGCCAGTTTCCCAAACTTGCCTCACAGTTATGTCTTCCACTGGTAGGATCTTATTATCTCTGTCCCACAGTTAGGAATGGGGACTGAATTTGGCACATTGAAGCCTTGGCCAATTATATTCAAAGTGTCATAAATGACAGAGCCAGAGGACAGTGCTTATTAAATAACAGAAGTTTCCTACTGAGGCAAGTAGTTCTCTAAAGCTACAGCTGCCTAGGGGGAAAACATGCCTCCCCTGAAACAGAATACTGTGTAGACATCGTTGATAATTCCACAACTATCTCCTTAGCTCACCAAGATAAACACACTCAGGTTGGTTATATGTTTTAATCTATGGCTCTCCTTCTGCTATGGGACTGAACAATTCTGTAGGAAAAATAATAATCTTTCTGGTTTTCATTACAGGGAGAGGAATGCTAGTGTGTCATCATTGTGGAATGAGGAGGCACCTGCAAGATAAAGCTGTGCAAAGATAAACTGGGCCAGAATCCATCATGGTTAAGTTCACATGCAGCTGTCCATATTCTTTGATCCTCTATTCCTGATTCCTCCTTCCTTGTAGCCTCCTTTAAAATCCCCAAATCATCCTCTTTCAGCAGGGTGGCAAATCCTGGGACAGAAGTATGCTACCCCCTCATCTTCAATAGATTAAATTGTCTATTTCTTTTATGCTTAAACTTGTGCTTTTTATTTTCAATCAGCATTGGGAACAAGGAATGAGATTTTAGTAACAACCACTTTGAGAATGTGGAAAGAACTTGAATTTTATAAGAAATAACCCAAGCTGGGATGTGGAGTTGTCCACAACTATGGTTGTAAAGGCAGTGGTCCTAACAGTGCTGTGCTGCCCAGTACACTGCCTGCACCCAGATAACATGCAGGCTATGCCTGCAGGGTCTTGGCTCTTTAGGAAACATAGAGACATAATGAGATTCATGGGTGATAGAAAACCACTGCAGACTCGGTTGGCTGGGGAAGTGATGGCAGAATGAGAACAGAACAAACATGGGTGTTTTTATTTTTTTTTAAGATTTATTTTATTTGAAAGGCTGAGTTACAGAGGGAGAGGGATAGATGCAGATAGGGAGGTCTTCCATCCACTGGTTCAATCCCCAAATGACTCCAATGTCTAGAGCTGGACAAGGACAAACCAAGGATCCAGGAGCTTCTTCTGGATCTCCCCCATGGGCACAAGTACCCAATAACTTGGGCCATCTTTTGAGCTTTTCCCAGGCATGGTAGCAGGGAGCAGGATTGAAAGTGGTACAGCTGCTACTTGAACTGGTGCCCAAATGGGATTCTGGTCTTGCAGGCAGCAGCCTAACCCATTATGCCAGAATGTCAGCCCCCAAACTTGGGGAAAAATACCCAGGATCACCTAGCCATCAGGGAAATGCAAATAAAAACCACAATGAGGTTTTACCTCAAGCTAATTAGAGTGGCTATAACTCAAAAAATTTAAAAAATGCAGTGAGGATGGGAGAAAAACATACATTAATGAACTGTTGTTGGCAATGTAAATAAATATAACTATTATCAAAGAGTGTACAGACAATCCTCAGAAATCTGGAAATAGATATACCAATGAACAAGCCAGCCTACTCCTGGGAATTTACTCAAAGGGAATGAAATCAGCCAATGAAAGGGGTTTGATGCCCCCAGGTTTATAGAAGCTAAATTAGCAATGGCTAAGATATGGAATCAATGCAGATGTCCATCAACCAATAACTGGATAAATGAAATGTGGTAGATATACATTACAGAATAATACTCAGCCATAAAAAAGACTGAAACCCTATCTTTTGCAACACAATGAAAATTTGGGAAGTAATCAATGATGAGAGCATAAAGAAAAAGATCTTTTAGAATGTGGTAACATGTTTGTAACTAGACTGAGGGGAAAGAGGTATTGACGAAAGGTATGAAAAAGATAGTCGTATGGGATGTAACACACATGGAAAATTATATAGACTAGGAGAAAATAGTCCAAGACTTAAGACAAAAAAAGAACTCAGCTCAGAATACTGTACCCTGCAAAGCTCTCATTTTGAATGAAGGTGAAATAAACACCTTCCATAACAAACAGACATTGAAAGAATTTGTCACCACTCATCTTACAAAACATGCCTACAAAAGCCTTGCAAAAGATGCTTAAGGATGTGTTACACATAAGAACAAAGAAAGATAGTCATCATTATGCAAGAATGTGAAGGCAGAAAATCTGCCAATAAACACAAAGGAAATGCAATGTAAACAATCGGTATATTTATGGAAAAATAGTAGGGGCAAGTCATTATTTATCAATAGTAACCATGAATTTAAATGGTGCTAACTCTCCAGTTAAGATACACATGGATTAAAAAATAATACCTATCTATTTGCTGCCTACAGGAAACATACCTCACCAACAAAGATACAAAAAGTAAAAGGAAGAAAAGTATATCCCATGCTAACAAGGCAAAAAAGCACAGGGGTAGCCATCCTAATACTGGAAAAAATAGACTTTAACACAAAAACTATTAAAAGTGAGAAAGAAAGGCACTATATAATGATTAAAGAATCAATTCAACATGAAGATATGACTATAATAAACATGTACCCAAGTACAGGGTGTATCAGTTATTTAAAGTAAATATGAATGAATATTAATAAAGACATAGACTTGAATACAGTACTAATGTATGATTTTAATATTGTCTATAGTCAATGCACAGATCAACTAGATAAAATCAACAAAACCAACAGTACTAATTGACACTATGTTCCACTTGGACCTAATTGATATCTACAGAACTGTTCAGTCCACAGTTGCACAATACACATTCTTCCCATCAGTGTGTGGAACTTCCTCTAAAATATATTTGCATGTTTAGTTATAAAGCAAGTCTCAGCAAATTAAAAAAATCATACCATGCGTCTTCTCTGATCACAATGGTTGGTTGTAGCAGGGGGCAATCTTTCCTCTGAGCACCCTGCAGAGATGGAGAAGCCATCTGTGTCTGTGTGTGCAGCACCTCAGGAAGCTTTGTGCAGATTTCAGAAAGGAGAAGCAGTAGTTACCCTTGCTGAGGGACTTCGAGGTGGTGGGACTCATTGCTCCCTGTCACTCATGGTAGTCCCATGAGGAGTCTTTTGTGAAGCAACTGGAAGTACACAGAACATTCAAGAGTGCTTCCAGGAGGCAGTGGGCACAGGAAGAAGGAGCACTAAGGACCCTGATCCCAGATAGGGGTGCATTGACAACAGGACCCCAACTGACCTATACATTCATGCATTGATGTCCCAGTTCTCCAACTCTCATAAACACTTTGCAGAGGAATTATGTCTCTCCATCCTTTCCTTTCTGTGCATCACAGAGTATTTGCACTTATTAACTTTATGTATGTATGAGATTCTAGTTCTTTGTGTTAAGTCTTCTGTTAATTGGGAGCATGGTCTTGGTGGTCTCAGGTTTTTGTCACTATTGCCAATTATATAAACAAAGATAATAGAATTGAAAATTAAATATGATTATCATTGTAATAAATATAAGAAGAAGATATTTGATGAGGAACATTCAAGTAATAAACACACAGGCAGTATCAATGTTAAGAATACTTCTTTTTAAACAATTAGTTGAGTGCAGGAGCTAGGAAAATGGATAATGCACCAGTAACAATGATAATAATGTTTTCTCTTTGGAAAATAAAAATCATGCAGTAACATCAAAAATTTAGTTTTCTGAGTATCTTGACATCTGGATTTGAATTTTAATTACAAATAAAGGCAAGACTACAAATGAATACAGACTTATTTCACATATCATCAGATTTGGTGCTGAAAATAAAAATAAATGATTTGTAATAACTGCTCAGAATAAATTATAATGCTCCAAATCTTTATATTAAATCCTCCTTGAAACTATAAAATGAGATATCCTCTTCTATGCAACAAAAAAGTAATACTATCAATACCTTTAGGAGTATGCATATTTTTCTTGTTATATTTAGACATTGTTTTTATCTCCTTCACTTTATAAGACTAATAGGTTTCATTTAGGGATTCTTTCTGAGGGAAATCTCATATGAGATTAAGCCAATGTTGCAAATTTAAAATTCGAATTCCACAGTAGACAGACAAAAGTATTTGAATTTATATGGCTAATTCCTTATATTTTTTTTGAGAGGTTGAGTTACAGACAGTGAAAAGTAGAGTCAGAAAGGTCTTCCATCCACTGGTTCACTCCCCAATTGGCCGCAATGGCCAGAGCTGTGCTGATTCGAAGTCAGGAGCCAGGAGCTTCTTCCAGGTCGTATATGCCAGTGCAGGGACCCAAGGACTTGGACCATCTTCTCCTGCTTTCCCAGGCCATAACAGAGAGCTGGACTGGAAGTGGAGCAGCCAGGACTTGAACAAGTTCCCATATGGAATGCAGGGACTGCAGGCAGTGGCTTTACCTGCTAAGGCACAACACCTGCAGCAACTTTTCCTGCTATGCCATAGCACCGGTCCCCAAGCAATTATGTCATATATTGTTATTATATATTCATTAATAGTGACTCTTCAACTAAACTGTGAACTTAAAGTTAATGACTCTATGTCAGAAGCTGAGGATAAATATTGGGGGGTTCTTTCAAAATTTATGGTAAAACATATTTTATTCACAAAAGACCAAATAAATGCAAATAAGTACTTATACAGGGACAAAAACCAGCATAACAATATTTACTGCTGGATCGAAGTTAGAGCCCCAATGCATGTGCAAACATACAACTTTATTTCTCTTTAATCTCTTACATAACTTTCATCTGTCAATAGCAACAAATTAATTAAAGGATAACTCAATAGTTTTTCACTTAACTTTAAGCTAGCTTTAGATAATTGACAAGGTCTGAATTTAATTGAAAGGCTATTCTCCCCTTTTTTTTTAATTTCTCTCCCTAGCCTCTGCCTATTCCAAGAAGAACTAATCCATGTAACAGTATGAGAGGATTTCTTTATTTAGATGTCCATAAAATATACGCTAATATACTTTGAAAGTAGGATTTGCTGAAAATCAGCTCTTCGCCAACATATATGGGGTGCGGTGGAGAGAATAATAATTTTCCCTGAATATATTACATATTCAAGAACACTTTTAGGTAATGCATGCTTATAAATATCAGGAAGATCATGTTGTTAACCAAAGGGCACTCCATAAGCAAAATGTCAAAAGGGGTCTTAATTGAAATGAAAATTTAATTTCATTTTAAAAGTATTGTTTATCAGGGCTGACACTGTGGCACAGCAGGTTAACACCCTGGCCTGAAGCGCCGGCATCCTATATGGGCTCCAGTTTGAGACCCAGCTACTCCTCTTCTGATCTAGCTCTCTGCTATGTGGCCTGGGAAAGCAGTAGATGATGACGCAAGTCCTTGAGCTCCTACACCCATGTGGGAGACCCGGAAGAAGCTCCTGGCTCCTGGCTTCAGATCAGCACAGCTCTGACCATTGCAGCCAATTGGGGAGTGAATCAATGGATGGAAGACCTCTCTCTCTCTCTGCCTCTTCTCTCTGTGTAACTCTGTAGCATGTAACATATATATGTTATATGTTAAACATACCTACATAAAAAGCATAAATTGGTTGCTGTTTTGCTTTTTTTCCTCCTTTTTTGGGTAATTTTTACCTATGCAAATAATGGGAAAAACAGCTGTATAATTGTAGAATTTTTTTTTTTGACAGGCAGAATGGACAGTGAGAGAGAGAGACAGAGAGAAAGGTCTTCCTTTTGCCGTTGGTTCACCCTCCAATGGCCGCCGCGGCTGGCGTGCTGCAGCCGGCGCACCGCGCTGATCCGATGGCAGGAGCCAGGAGCCAGGTGCTTTTCCTGGTCTCCCATGGGGTGCAGGGCCCAAGCACCTGGGCCATCCTCCACTGCACTCCCTGGCCACAGCAGAGAGCTGGCCTGGAAGAGGGGCAACCGGGACAGAATCCGGTGCCCCGACCGGGACTAGAACCCGGTGTGCCGGCGCCGCTAGGCGGAGGATTAGCCTAGTGAGCCGCGGCGCCGGCCCTTAAATACAGATTTCTGACTGAGATGTCTATATATTAACGACAATTTTTTTAAATAAAACTTCCTAAAAGAGGGGGAAAAAAAGAAAGTGTATAATGTAAAACAGGACAAAAATTAATCAGACTAAATGAATTAATGACATCTGGGGATTTCCATCTTTCATTTAAAGTGTTGTTGGTTCTAATATTTCAATGTTTCACCTTCTAGGTTCAGGAAAACTGTTCCTGTGATTTCAGTGGTTTACTGTATTTTGGTAAAGTGTTGTTCTGTAACCTGCGAAGAAGTGTTTACTTTCCACTCCCTCCACGTAATTGCTCTAATCTTCAAAAATTTTTATAAATATGGTATATGTGGAGGGGGCAATGTGATTGTTTTCATGAATTCATCAGAATCTGTCCTCATAACAGAATATATTTAGAAACATTGACATATCTAAATCATGCATAAAATGCCTGGCTTGTAGGGTTTTCAGCCTTGCAGTGAGTAAATGGACTTCTCATATTTTAGCAGATCCAAAAACTTCAAAATACTAGACACTGTAGTTTTAAAAAAAATCTAGTTTGTCATAGATTTGCCTTTTAACTTGGAGAATTTTCCAAGTGTGAGATTATATGTCAAAGGAAATTTAGTTACTGTATTTAAGGCAAATAGCCAGTCAACAAACTATAACATACCTGCTTGTAGACTGTAACTCTGTTCATTGTTTTTAGACTGCTAACTTGGAGAGTTTTCTGGGTCTGAGACTAACATGGATACTCAACCTTTCATGCTGTACTTACATGAATTGTCAGTTATCATGTCTACTATTTGATTGTATCCCTATTCATTATTTTTAAGATGTCAACCTGATTTATCTTGCACTTGGTGTTTTCCTATTTGAGTTGTGTGCCTACTGCCTGTAAGAAGTCTACAGAAGTACAATTCTCAGCAGGATAATGCCTGGCACTTTGAGATGATTTGCACCTACAGAATAAACAAAACTAAGTTTAACAATGGACTCCAGGTAAATTTAGTTTGAGAGCCACTTGTTTCACCTCTCTGTTGCTCAAATTGGGACAAAATTGTTCTTTGAAATGCCTCCTGGTCATGACTTCCCTTCCAACATGGCACCAGATGAATAGCTGGGTCAAATCTAACTGGGCAATGAAGGATATGTAAAATTTAGCTGCAGGATGGCTGATCAGCATTGTGCCCCCCAAAAGATCATGATCACAAAGAGGAAATAAATATCAAGATGGAATCACGGGTTTTAATCCTAAACAAAATTAGGTTAAAACCAAGAGATTTTTAAGGGAGGGTCATTATGTGTGATTGCCTGCTAGTAACTGTCACAAAAGACTCTGATAGAACTATACCCATTAAAGAGTACCCCAATTTCAAAAGAGAAATGCTAACTAGAAGTGATACCTGCCATCCTCACATAGAGTGCTAGATTCTATAGACAGCACCTACAGCACACACAGGGAGGTGTTGAGAAAGGGCTTTGACCTCTTTGTACATGAGAAGCAAGGATTAGGACTGGAAGGAATGACTCAAAATTTGGGGAAAATAAAATGACCAATGGTATACATTTCAAAAATGTGGACATTCCACCAAAGACTGGCTGTGGTGTCTGAGAATAACAGCCACTTGTGAAGTACTGCAGGAGACAGAGAGCTCACTTTTGGTCATCTCACCACAGTGCATACAGCTTACTATGTGCTGCTGCTTCTGTAACAATAAGGATCTTACTGCTTACTTCAGGCCCTATGGTAAAAACTAACCTGTACTATTTGATAACTGAAATGGTCCTGTAAAACTGCATCATATTTTAATCCATCCACCTTGCCCTCAGACTCCCCTGAGGAAACTATGTGACTGATTATAGGTCATGTAACAGATACGTCTGATTAGGCTGTATCTGACCGATATCCCCTTACAGGTTACAGATCGGGAATTCTTTGTGTATCAAAACAGCTTCACAGGACAGGACAATCAAGGGTTGGATATGAAGTAGGAACTCTCCCAGAAACTTCAGAATCAATAACACTACCACAAGGTATCTTAGCCCAGAAAGCTGAGCTCAAAGCACTCTCCCATCCCTTGCAGCTTAGAGGAAGCACAAGAATAAATATCCACAGCATTGAAAGGGGAGTATTGATGGCCTTGGCTGCACCTGGGTTAGCGATGATGTACTTGGGCCTCCTTTTTATTCAAAGAAAATAGAAAAACATACAGAAGTCTGCCAGTTTCCCAAACTTGCCTCGCAGTTACGTCTTCCACTGGTAGGATCTTATTATCTCTGTCCCACAGTTAGGAATGGGGACTGAATTTGGCACATTGAAGCCTTGGCCAATTATATTCAAAGTGTCATAAATGACAGAGCCAGAGGACTGTGCTTATTAAATAACAGAAGTTTCCTACTGAGGCAAGTAGTTCTCTAAAGCTACAGCTGCCTAGGGGGAAAACATGCCTCCCTTGAAACAGAATACTGTGTAGACATCATTGATAATTCAGCAACTATCTCCTTAGCTCACCAAGATAAACACACTCAGTTTGGTTATATGTTTTAATCTATGGCTCTCCTCCTGCTATGGGACTGAACAATTCTGGAGGAAAAATAATAATCTTTCTGGTTTTCATTACAGGGAGAGGAATGCTAGTGTGTCATCATTGTGGAATGAGGAGGCACCTGCAAGATAAAGCTGTGCAAAGATAAACTGGGCCAGAATCCATCATGGTTCACTTCACATGCAGCTGTCCATATTCTTTGATCCCCTATTCCTGATTCCTCCTTCCTTGTAGCCTCCTTTAAAATCCCCAAATCATCCTCTTTCAGCAGGGTGCCAAATACTGGGACAGAAGTATGCTATACTCTCATCTTCAACAGATTAAATTATCTATTTCTTTTATGCTTAAACTTGTGCTTTTTATTTTCAATCAGCTCTGGGAACAAGGAATGAGATTTTAGTAGCAACCACTTTGAGAATGTGGAAAGAACTTGAATTTTATAAGAAATAACCCAAGCTGGGATGTGGAGTTGTCCACAACTATGATTGTAAAGGCAGTGGTCCTAACAGTGCTATGCTGCCCAGTACACTGCCTGCACCCAGATAACATGCAGGCTATGCCTGCAAGGTCTTGGCTCTTTAGGAAACATAGAGACATAATGAGATTCATGGGTGATAGAAAACCACTGCAGACTCGGTTGGCTGGGGAAGTGATGGCAGAATGAGAACAGAGCAAACATGGGTGTTTTTATTTTTATTTTTTTAAGATTTATTTTATTTGAAAGGCTAAGTTACAGAGGGAGAGGGATCAATGCAGATAGAGAGATCTTCCACCCACTGGTTCAATCCCCAAATGACTACAATGTCTAGAGCTGGACAAGGACAAACCAAGGATCTGGAAGCTTCTTCTGGATCTCCCCCGTGGGCACAAGTACCCAATAACTTGGGCCATCTTTTGAGCTTTTCCCAGGCATGGTAGCAGGGAGCAGGATTGAAAGTGGTACAGCTACTATTTGAACTGGTGCCCATATAGGATTCTGGTCTTGCAGGCAGCAGCCTAACCCATTATGCCAGAATGTTGGCCCCCAAACTTGGGGGAAAAATGCCCAGGATCACCTAGCCATCAGGGAAATGCAAATAAAAACCACAATGAGATTTTACCTCAAGCTAGTTAGAGTGGCTATAACTCAAAAATTTTAAAAAATGCAGTGAGGATGGGAGAAAAACATACATTAATGAACTGTTGTTGGCAATGTAAATAAATATAACTGTTATCAAAGAGTGTACAGACAATCCTCAGAAATCTGGAAATAGATATACCAATGAACAAGCCATCCTACTCCTGGGAGTTTACTCAAAGGGAATGAAATCAGCCAATGAAAGGGGTTTGATGCCCCCAGGTTTATAGAAGCTAAATTAGCAATGGCTAAGATATGGAATCAATGCAGATGTCCATCAACCAATAACTGGATAAATAAAATGTGGTAGATATACATTACAGAATAATACTCAGCCATAAAAAAGACTGAAACCCTATCTTTTGCAACACAATGAAAATTTGGGAAGTAATCAATGATGAGAGCATAAAGAAAAAGATCTTTTAGAATGTGGTAACATGTTTGTAACTAGACTGAGGGGAAAGAGGTATTGACGAAAGGTATGAAAAAGATAGTCGTATGGGATGTAACACACATGGAAAATTAAACAGACTAGGAGAGAATAGTCCAAGACTTAAGAGAAAAAAAAAAACTCAGCTCAGAATACTGTACCCTACAAAGCTCTCATTTTGAATGAAGGTGAAAGAAACACCTTCCATAACAAACAGAGATTGAAAGAATTTGTCACCACTCATCTTACAAAAGATGCCTACAAAAGCCTTGCGAAAGATGCTTAAGGATGTGTTACACATAGGAACAAAGAAAGATAGTCATCGTTAGGCAAGAATGTGAAGGCAGAAAATCTGCCAATAAAAACAAAGGAAAT